CTAACTACTTAGCTTATAGTCTATCTAATAATATAACTTATTTTAATATATTAATCTATTAATAATTAGTGTTTTTACTTTTTAACTACTTAGCTATTTAACTTTTTAACCTTTTAACTATTTATATATATAATATCTTTAGTATTTAACTTATTAACTATTAATTTATATAACTATACTACTACTTTATTATTATAATTCTTAACTACTAAACTTTAAGTCTTTCTATTTCTAAACTATCTATCTTTTATATCTTAAAACTCTATAGCTTAATAACTTATTTTCTTTTAAATTTATTAAAGTTTTAGCTATTAAGCTATATAATTATATAGATATAAAGTAAATATCTTTCTAGTTATTAAATAGTAAACTTTTTATAACTTTAATCTTTTTTTTATATAATAGTAGTTAAGATAATACTTAGAAAGTAGTAGTATAAATACTACTAGTAGATATAATATAAGTAATACGTATTTAGTATATATTTTATTAGATTCTACTATACTTAAACAAAACTATAGACTTATATAGTCTAGTAGTAATTTTCTTCTAAACTATATATTAGTATAACTAAAGAGCGTAAGTTCGATTCTTAGTAGTAACTAATATATTTATAGTAAATCTTTGTAGTAAATCTTTAATAGTAAATCTTTATAGTAAATCTTTATAATATAGCTTTAATAGAATAGTTTAGTAGTTTAGCTTAGTAGTTTAGTTTAGTAGTTTAGCTTAGTAGTTTAGTTTAGTAGTATAGTTTAGTAGTATATCTTAGTAGTATATCTTAGTAGTTTAGCTTAGTAGTATAGTTCTATACTAAAGCTTTTTAAAATAGCTATATACTACTTTATAAGTTAAAGATAAGCTTATTTTTTTTAAAATATTTATTATATTTATATTTTTATTTTTATTTATTAGTTTAGTAAATAAAGTATAGCTTTAAATAAAATAATAAAATAAAATATAAAATAACTTTTTAATTAAAAAAAATAAAGTTATAAAGTTTAGTATAAAGTAGTATAACTTAGTATAAAGTAGTATAAAATAGTAAAGTTTAGTATAAAATAGTAAAAAGTAGTAAAGTATAGTATAAAGTAGTAAAGCTTAGTATAAAGTAGTATAACTTAGTAAAAAGTAGTATAACTTAGTATAAAGTAGTATAACTTAGTAAAAAGTAGTAAAACTTAGTAAAAAGTAGTATAACTTAGTAAAAAGTAGTAAAACTTAGTAAAAAGTAGTAAAACTTAGTAAAAAATAGTAAAGTTTAGTATAGCTTAGTAAAACTTAGTAAAAAGTAGTAAAGTTTAGTATAAAGTAGTATAACTTAGTAAAAAGTAGTAAAGTTTAGTATAAAGTAGTATAACTTAGTAAAAAGTAGTAAAGTTTAGTATAAAGTAGTATAACTTAGTAATATATAGTATAACTTAGTTTAATATTATAAAGTATATATACTAAACTTTACTAAATTATACTAAGTTATACTAAACTTTACTACTTTTTACTAAACTATACTAAGTTATACTAAACTTTACTACTTTTTACTAAACTATACTAAGTTATACTAAACTTTACTACTTTTTACTAAATTATACTAAGTTATACTAAACTTTACTACTTTTTACTAGATTATACTAAGTTATACTAAACTTTACTACTTTTTACTAGATTATACTAAGTTATACTAAACTTTACTACTTTTTACTAGATTATACTACTTTTTACTAAATTATACTACTTTTTACTAAATTATACTAAGTTATACTAAACTTTACTATTTTTTACTAAGTTATACTACTTTATAGTAAATTTTACTAAATTTTATTTTTTATACTATATTTTACTACTTTATATAGTATTATTTTATATTATACTTACTTATATTTTTTATATATTATACTATTTTATAATTTAATTAAATTAAACTACTAAGTAACTATTAATATAGTTAAGATTATATATAATCTTATTATTATATATATATTTAGTTATTATACTTAAAGTATTAACTAATATAATTATAACTATAAGTAAGTAGAATTTTATTTTACTATAGTTTTATTTTTTATATAGTAATATTTATTACTATTAATACTTATTTAGTTTACTAAGTATTATAATTACTTAAGTTTAATATAATAGTATACTTAAAAGCTATATAAACTTTTAATATTATTATTACTATAGTAAAGAGACTAGTAGTATCTCTATTAGAATAAATACTTAATATAGTTAATTATATTATATATATATATATATAGTTATTATTCTTATCTAAATACTATCTAGACCTAGCTTTACTTAGTATACTAACTCTTAAGTTTAATAGCTATTTAGCTCTCTATTATATTACTAGTTTTACTACTATATTACTATAATACTATTACTATATTAGATAGTATAAAGAAAACTATACTTACTTTTATCTTTACTTTATTATATATTAAATCTATTATATTTAGCTAAAATAATATATTTATAGCTTTAGTATTAATTTAAAATACTAATATATTATATATAATAATATTAAAATAACTACTTTTCTTTTATATATACTTATTCTTATATATATCTTTTTCTTTCTTCTTATCTAAATTTACTAATTAGTAATTACTAAGTAATACTAATTAGTAATTACTAATTTTTTTTTTTTAGTAATTACTAATTAGTAATTACTAATTAGTAATTACTAGGTACTAAGCCTATTTAAGAATTACTAATTAGTAACTTAGTAATTACTAAGTAATTACTTAGTAAACGCCCATCTATGTTCTAGACGCAGACGCTCTCATTTCCGAAAGTGTGATCGCCTCTGCGGGAGTCTGACCAGTTCTATCGAGCGATGACGAGGCCCTCATCCCGGCGACCATCGTCCTGTTTGTTGAGCGTTAACCGTGTTCGGGCTCGCGACCCAAAGGGGCTCAGGACTGGAGGTGTGCCGAGAAGGCGTATGCGATGCTGACGAGGCTTTCTCGTATCGACGAGTCAACACTGAGGCGGTCCGATGCAAAAATACCAACCGATGTGGCACGGCAGGCCCTCCGCGCGCGACCTCGTACTCAGCCGGCTCCCTTGCTCATGCACTTCAGCTCAGCTTAGCACACCTCAATTATCCATTGTTATGTTCGCAGTGTTCTGAAGCGTCGACAGATTCACAAGTCACGATAAGATTATTTCCGGTGTTCATGGACAAGGTGTCGGGTCGCATCAACGGTGACCTTACACACACCCACGTCAACCACAACGACAACGACAACGTGGTACGCACGCGAAAGCGCTCCGCCAGGCTGGTCCTTGTCACAATTACCGACATATCCCGCCCTCTATCGGGCTCCGAACGTCTTTGTTTCCTTCTGCTTGCCGATAAACAGATAACGCAGCTGTGACGCTTCCACCGACGTCACACAATCACAACGAGAACTCCCATCGTATGCGCCTGAAGACATTGCGCTCGAGATCTGCCTCCCCGATTTTGTGCCAGCAACAAGAGAACCTATTCTCCACGGTGAGGCACCTCATTCGCTGGCACACTAACACGCATCCAATACGAGTCGAGGCGACTGTCAACCAGCCCTGCGCTATCGATATAGCCTATCGATAGGAAGGAGGTTCCTGCATAAGCGCTGCTGGTCTTGCGCAGCCTAACGCATGCGCTCTGCGCCCGGTGTGTCAAACTTCATCTCCCAACAGTTGGGCATGACATGTGTCTACGTTTGCCATTGTTTGTCGTTCTGAAATTCCTGGGGCTGAGAATAAGGGCGAGGTTTGCGATATTATAGCTCATCGCGAAGTCGCGAGTACACGTAATGATCTCCACTCGCTCCGACAGTTCTGGATCGTGGGCACGGTTCGGCATCGGAAGCAACGACCCGGGCGTGGTGCGTGGGTGGCCTGGATTCCGCGGTCCAGAATCTCACAGTGCGCACGTGACGTCGGTAGATCGCACAGCACACGGTCTTTGGCACAAACCTACGAGAAGGACAAGCCGTGATGCAGGGCCTCTCTGCCTGTGTACGATGGTAAGCCCCGGAGAGTTGTGAAACTGCGAGTCCCAGATCATCCAAGGTTGCTGGTCGGCTAGGATGCACTGCCCTGCAGGTGACGTACAGTGTCGATCGTCAGGCACCTGTACTGGTATGGTGACTTAGCCTCTTTGGAATTCCAAGGACTGGGACCGATCGCATCATGTTCCTCCGAGATGGCAATCGAACATGTAGTTCACTATCGTAAGGTGTTTCAAGACAAACAGCGGTTCGCCGAAAGCCAGTACGTTCCGAAACGCTGGTGGCAACAGTTCGTTGCGTAAACTGATAAGTCGGTTGACTGTGGGTTTTTCGGGTTGACGTTGTCGTGGTGAAACGTCGGCGTGAAGACCCTGGAAGCTTGACAGTGGGTGGCAACCTTTCACGCAGTCTTGTAGAAGGGATGTGTGGATGTAGACATGTGCAAGACTTTGGCTGCTTCCCAAGAAGTAAAGACATGGTTGTTACAATACAACGTTCATCTATGGATACCCTCATCGTACGCAATAGTTCCCTTCTTTGCGTATGATCCCCTCTTTGCATACCATGTCACAGCCCAAGTTCAACGTCACAGCACACCCATCCGTACACCATGTATACTTTCCGCCAGGCAAGCAAGTAACCTCTCCCTCTTGATCGCAGGCCAAACACTGTTTCACCAACCGTCCTCCAGTTTCTGCAACAGCGAAAAAGCGAGTCCAGTAATTTATCCGCCTTTTCGTCGCCTTGCTCTCTTCGTCTCGTCCCGCAGAAGGTGTTGCGTTATCCATTTCTCTAAACAGCGATACATCAATGTACTCGGTCTTCGAACTGAGAATGGAAGAATGGCCAGTGCTGATGTTCCTCATCTTTATTCCTGTGTCTCGAGCTTTCACGGGGGCTTTGGCATCGGGAGCCTGCGTAGATTTTGCCTTGCAACGTGAGTGAGTTGATGTGGCAGGGGATGTAGGGGGAACTGCAGAGGCGGTGGATATAATACTTACGTTAGGTGTAGTTATGGCGCTCCTTGTAGGCCAGTAGAATTCGGAAGTCTCTGACCCAGAGGTAATCGGCATTGCCAATGGTGTCGCTGGTATTCCAGATGCGGCACTGCTCAATACCGAGAATGTAGGGAGGCTTCCTGACGGTGTGCTCAAGGTTTCCCAGCGCGTTATCCAAGGCAATACAGGTGTCCAAGGCAGATCGGTGCTGGAATTGCCAGGTACAATATGCGACATAGTGTGGGAGCAAGTAGTACTTTTACCCATCGGACTGGTTGGGCTGGCAGACGTGGCAAGTGTATCAGTCACCATTGTACTGCCCGCGCTTGGAAGAGAACCAGAAGCCATGGAGGTCGGCAAAGGATCATATGTAAAGGACGGTAAGACGAGAGAGGTAGTGCCAGACGGCCATATGGGAATACCGTCGATAATGCATGGTTCAGTCGGATGAGGGCATATCAGAGTGACAGCTGTGCTAGTGGGCTTACTGTAGTCAGGCCTATCGGACAGTGCCGTCACTGAGCCTGGTGATGGCGGGACGGCGAACCCGGAGGAATAGTTGCCAGTCTCATGAGGCGGCACATAAGGTAGTGTAGTAGTTGTTGTTCCAGTAAAGGTAAAAGTCGTAGTAGAACTCCTGATTGGCGGCAGCTGATTGGTTGTCGTGGATGTCTGATTGTTATTCTCATCTTGGGGAGCTCCCAGAGTACAGCTAACTATCAGTGCAATGAGGCTGAGATACACGTTGCGAGTAGACATGGTAGCGGCGCTAATGTACTTGCAAAACGTTCAGAAGGGTCGTTATATGTCGCAGAGGGAGAGGTGTCGGAGAGTCGTTTTATTGCCAACAGATATTTACATTCGCCAAATGCATCACTGAGTTGTTCATCGACGTGTCAAGCATGTATTGTATGGCCGAATATCGATACCGGGCAATCAGCAGTCGAGCGTGATTGTTACGAAAATGGAAGCGTGCTCATTCAATCAGGATCTGCGCCATGTTCATTTCCTGTTCATGTCCTGATCTCTGCTGCTTTTCTGAGTCGGTTCATGACCGCGGCGGCAATATCGTCACCTGTTTTATCGTCGATTCCCTCCACATATATGACCTCGACGCCTTTCTTGTCGAGCTCTCTTAGTGCTGAAAATAGACCTCTGGCAACATCCTCAGTCTTTGCGCCAAGATTGATTTCCCAAACCTGGATTGCTTCAGGCTTCACAATGTAGTGGTCGGCGTGCGGTATTTCGTGCTGGATGACAGACCGCACAAGGTTTGAAAGGCGCGACGGCGAGTCGTTGGCGTCTAGAGAAGCGGCCGTGTCCGGTGAAGCGCAAATTCCTGGTCCATTCGTATCCGATGTCTTCACCTTCTCAGCGCCCAAACCCAACACTTTATCCCAACTCTTGGTCCGAATGACACCGATGCGCCTCTTACTCTTGAGCTCGTCCGATGTAGGTTGGTTCGCGCCTGTCTCGAACAGAAGAACCGATGCCTTCGGACTATAGTGTCTGTACTTCATCCCAGGCGCGCGTGGTTTACTCGAGTCTTCCGCTTGCTTATCCTTGTATCCGACCACTACGTTCTCCCATCCTGGGCATTGCCGTAACTGTTCCACAGTGACGCCACCCGGCCTCAGTATCGCAGGTGGGCTTGAAAGTCCATCTATGACTGTGCTTTCAACGCCGACTTCGCATGGCCCACCATCGATTATGAGGTTTAGTTTGCCGTTTAGATCATCGTAAACGTGTTCCGCAGCGGTCGGTGAAGGTCGTGTGGATGCGTTCGCGGATGGTGCGGCGAGCGGTCGGCCGCATAGCCGCAACAAGGACAGGGCGATTATAGAACGTGGCATTCGTGCGCCAAAGGTAGGAAGGCCTGCCGTGACTTCGGGTGCGAGTATCGAATTCTCAGGGGCCGGTAGAATAATGGTCAGCGGTCCAGGCCAGAAGCGCTCAATCACCGGCCGGTAGATATCCGGTATGGGATCCTTCCCAGCATCCTTCCCGTCTCCTACGACGTCTAGTCTGCCCAAAAGCAGCGCTCGAAGCTGAGGTAAAGAGTGTATATGGACGATCAAAGGGTTGTCGGCGGGTCGTCCTTTGCTCGCGAAGATCTCCTTTACCGCCGCGCTTCTTGTCGCATCCGCGCCAAGTCCGTATACGGTCTCTGTTGGAAAGGCGACCGGGATGTTCGTATTCACAAGCTCGTCCGCTGCTTGCTTTAGTGTTCCGGCATTAGCCTCGCCCTCTGTATCGTCGTATTCTATGTCCCATTCGTCGATTAAGTCCTCTGACTTCCTGAACGTGATCTTCCCCAGTTTCTGAGGATCCACGCGCCGAACGCTAGTTTCAGGCATCGTTACGATGAAGATATTGCCCTTAGTTGGGGCGGTCGCAGTAATCGGCTCGTAGAGTTTGGCGGTGGGCGTGAAGGAGTTAATCGATCTTCTCAGCGTGGAAATCGGAACGCGGCGGGGCTTTGATGCAGCGACTTGCACCAAAGAACGTATGGAAGCGATGTGGATTGAATTACTCGTGGGTTTAACATTTGGGATGCGGAGATGGCGAGTGGGCATTAGAGTGATGACTGGTGAAAGCCAAAATTTCTCGGAACGTTGTGGGGCTCAGTTCCGATGACACGCGACGTCATGTCGGGAACGAACGCACCTGACGCGCTCGAGACTTTCACAACGACAACACCAACCCAGCTGTGATCAATCGACATGGTTTCTTCTATATTCACTTTCCTCCCCAGATATCATCTACCAAAGGTGTTCGTCATCGAACCATAATTCTGACCTAGTTGCAGCCCTTTATTCTCACCAGAACCAGAGAAAGTAGTGGTATTTTGATGTGTCGCAGCAACAGCCTTTTGCAATGCGCCTTGCATCTGTTCGTCATCCTCGCCCAAAGCGTCCTTCAGCAGAGTTGAGACTTCCGGTTCATTCGCAACAAGCTCCTCTACGTCTTCGTTGCACAATCGCTCCCTATTCTTCTTGATACCATCTGGAAAAGCGGATATAAGATCGTTGACTAGACTGGAAATCGACCCAACGAGGTCGATGAAACCTTGCCGAGAGAACAGCGCCCATTTCGTCTTCGCGTACAGACCGTCTTTCGTCTTGGATGCTTTATTGGTTCTGCCTAGAGCTAGCTTGTTCATCTTATCACACAACTTCCTCATGCGATCGCTGAGTTCAGGCTCTGATGATCTTCTCTCTAAGTTTTTGGCCTTCTCCTCCGTTACCTGAAACAGCTTGATGATATGCTCAAGCGTCCGTTGCGCGACGTCTTGCTCACCTTGGGAGCATTGGAGAGGGGTTTCAGCGTCCTTGTCCGTGATACCGACAACGCTTCCCCAATGAGAGAGCCGAATCTCGGATAAATGGAGCCTGATTTGGTATGTCTCGAAATCCTGGCCAAAATCTTTGGCTACACGAACGTACTGAAAGCATTCAAGGGCGTTATTGAAGAGTGCAGCGATGCCGAGAGCACCAAGTGTAAGTCCGGCTGCTTCTGCCATGCTGGAATATGCTAAGACGATTGATATCGCAGGAGCGCAAGGTAACGATTCTTCTAGTTATAAATCCCAGCGCAGGCCATCACATGAATCTAGCAAGCCGCGTTATCAGCACATGATCACCGTTGGTAAGTGGCTCCCCCATCCAAGTATCAAGCCTGAAAGGAGGAGGTCATAATCAAACATACGTGAAGTGGTTTCGGTCGAAAGCGACATAGTGAAGTTGGCAGCGCTACGAGTTACTTCTCCATCTTGACAGCACATTCATCAACGACGCGAACTACATGTGCATGCCCTTTGGCCTCAGCACTCATACGAGCATCATTGCCATCCCGATCCGTAATCTCGGCGGATGCCCCGTTCTTCAGTAGCAGCTCTACAACCTCTGCAAACCCGCTCTCAGCTGCGACGATGAGCGGTGTCTTTCCTTGTTCGTCGGTGCCGTTGATTTCCACTCCTTTTGCGATAAGCAAATTCGCAGCCTGAAGGAAACCGTGTTTAGCCGCAATATGAAGAGACATAACTTCTTTCTCCAGCAACATCTGAAGAATCTCATGGTTCTTGACCCAGAAACCGTCGCTGCCCAAGCTAACCACCAATTCTGCGCTCCAACGAAGAGAATTCAATAAGAGCTTGAAGATGGATGAAGACACCCCAGATCGCATGGCCAGAGACAAAAATCTCTGTTCTCGCTCGCTTTTGTGGACAATCGGACTGATTTTTGGTAAGAGAAATCGAACCACAGCTTCATGGCCGAATAAAATCGCTAAATTCATGCCAGAATCCAGGTAAAGGTGCAAGTCTTTAGTTCTGGAAAACAAGGTCTCCACAAGACGCTCGCTGCCACCGAAGCAGGCTGCCACAAAGGCAGGCGTGAATGCTGCCCATACCTCGATCAAATTTGGTGGCGCGCGATTGAGCTCATCTGGATCAGCGCCGGCGTCTAGTAGTACATGCACGACGTCTTCGAGACCTTGACCGCACGCATCCCAGAGTGCCGTTTCATTCTCGCATTTCTTAGTCGAAGGATTGTATGCTCTGACGTTTGGGCGACCTCCACGATCAAGAAGAGCTTTCAGGACGCTGGCATGACCCTCAATGGCAGCGGCAAAGACCGATCTATCGTCTACGGTTGCGCCCTGATCACACAACCAAATGACTACGTTTTCGTGACCTCCGTGGGCAGCGTAATTCAGTAGAGATTGCCCTGCTGGATTCACAAAGTGGTTTACGACATCGGAACGCGGTATACCGGGAAAGTTAGAGAAGTAGACCATCCACGGTAGCACGCCTAGAGCTGCCGAAAGATGCGTTGGGTGGATGGTCTCCAGCTCCTTGAGTGAAGGACCCTTTTCGGGATCACTGAACTGAACAGGCAACTCCCGTTTCATTGAAGGACTTCTTACCATATGGGATGACCACCACCAGCTGGTGTATGCCATGCCATCTTGTTTGAAGAAAGTGTCGATTCTGCTTTTTAACAGATCCATAGCCAGGCCTTCTGACTGTGCTTTGATGAGCCTGACATGAGTTGGCCAGTAGATTGTGGCGTATGATAATAGAGGAAGACGCGTATTTGTATCTTCATCATCACAGAACCAGTATTCCTTATCCGAGAGATTATTGTGGAGATAATCCAAGCACGTGTGCGCAATTTGGTGGTGTACTGTATCTGCTTCACAGAAAAACGGCCGAATGTCGGCGTCGTCTGCTACGCTCGACTCAAACAGATGTTCCTTTAGTGAGTAATGAACCAGGTCGACCGTAGGCGCGTGAGCAGTATCGGGGGTATGTCTGATGATGAGCAAAGACCTACACCATGTGATACGATCACTGAGTCTCTGCTCCACTGATATGGTGTCTGACCCACGGATTTCCAACACCGCTGCTAGCTCCGCTAGGTTCATGGGTCTCATCGCTTGTGCCACCCAGTGCAGCAATCTGATACATTCCGAGCGATATTGCGGATTTGGATGTACTTGGTGAAAAAGTCGGTTATAGAGAGGGACAAGTCCGGTAGGGAACTCGGCCAACGAACTCTCGATCTCTGTAGGCGTCTCTTTGACTGACAATTCGTCCATTACGCAACCAATCCAAAGGAACGAGTTGCCCGAGCGTGACTGTAGGATTTGTTTGACTTGGTCCTGTAGCGCTCGTGTGCAACCGGGCACTTGATCTGCCATTCCAGCTACTCGCGCATCGATGAATCTCGTGATACTCTCGTTGTAGCCCGGGTCTTGTATGGTGTCTAGGTCGATCTTAGACGCAAAGTCCATGCTTGTAATATTCCGACTCGCAACGAGAATCCTCACGTTTCTCATATCTTTGTCGGAGCTATCGGTATGGAGCTTAGACAGCTTCTGTGCCAACCAACGAGCTGTTCCATCGTCGCACTCATCGAGCCCGTCGATCAGATACACCAGACCTTCAAGCTCCTGCTCGTGCAGTAGATCGGTGACGATTCGCCAAAGGGCATCGCGCGACTGCATCGTAGCCTCAGCTCTTCGATCCTCCCGAACGTAGGGGTAGACCTTGCTGTGTAGACCTCGTTTTTGGTCGATGATTTGATGTATCAAGGTACGAAGTATTGCACATGCCGAATTGCGATTCGAATCCCGATGGTCGCAGAAGAAGTAAGCGAAGACTTCATTGCGAACATTGCATCGTTTCTCTAGCAAGGCCGTGATATGAACCGAAATCATTGTTTTGCCTTTTCCAGGCCCACCTGCAATCCAGAGGGTCTTGGATGATGACCCATCCAACCAATCCGAGAAAGTGCAGTCTTGCCAGATCCAGTCGCATGTGTCAGAAACGGGGCTACCCTTAGTGTTCACAACATATTCGCGGTCGACATCAGGGTCTGTCACCCAGAGCGCTTTGGTACACTTGTCGAATCGCTGCTCATCGGTATGGCATCCGGACTCATGGTTGATATTTCCGAAGTTCTGGCCTACCATGATACCATTATTGATATTGGCGATTAGGTTCGCAGTGTTTCGTACCGTCATGTCTGCCATGGTGGTGGGGCGATAGGCAAGATGTCCTCAGTGACGAGTCATCTTATCTTAAAGTCGCAGAGGACAGCAAACATACGACCTTGCACAAACCTCCTGTCCGTTTGCTAATTTAGAACCACGTATGTCAACATGGTGACATGTTGATTCATGTTAAGGGTGACTTTGCATGCTGCACTGAGCGGCCCAGACCGTAAACATCCTGAAGCCGTGCGACCTATGAAATTAAACGAAGGCCAGGGCATGAACATGTTTATGTAGTTGCAAGCAGCAATATACTGCTACATAATGTAAACAATAGTGTGTTGGAAATACACTTGCATTGCGATTATTTACCGTCTTACTCAGTCGCATGGTGCCTGCGTTCTAAGACCAGCACATTCAACAAGCGAGAGTAGTTGCAAGTGGCGCATCAAAGAATCAGAGTACACCGATCGTGTTACACTCGTTCTTTCTGCATGATCTTTGCTGCCCAACGAACGGGCAGCAAGCCGCCTTCATCACTGATGCAGGTGGACCTACATGAGCACCTAGCTAGTCAGCCATCTCCCCGTCAGACACCACTAAATTGAGTACATCAAGACCAGGAAGCTCCCAAATAATATCACTGAGTAAAGTTCAAAAACGTTTCCCAAAGGCTCGCATCACGAAAAGCCTTCCCGTGTCCTGTGAACATAGGAGAAGATTGGGCGAAGTTCCCGAGGCTCTTGGGCTAGTGGTACTGAGAAGATATGCGGGGATGGCTCCATAGCCTCGGGAGTCTTACGGACGTACAGGCAACGGCGATAGACCGCATACACTGCCGAACGCTTGGTGCTGATGTCTCTTTGGGTGACTGTTATTAGGGACCGAACATCTTGCCAAGACTTAGTGCTGTTTACACTTTGTAGTATTTGAGATTGGTGGAGGATGCGTGGGTAGTGACGATTGAGTCTTCCAAGAGTAAGAGGCCGGTATGGTGGCGAGGCTGACGGCACTTGCAGACCTTGCGCACATCGAGTTGCCCAGGCTATGGATGTGGACGAACCTCCTCATCGCATAGTTTGCGTCTCGTGTTCTTGCCGGATGTTGCGACGTTCGTCGTCCTATGGATAGACGAGGTTGAAGAAAGTGCTCCCCTACCTATGGAACTCGGTCGTATGGGAATGCCAAAATGACTGCACTGCGACGCGACAAACTTCCCCAAATGGACTGGTTATCGAGTGGTTGATGCAAGACAGCTCAACGATGAACTCATGGCTACTGGTAAGCAGTAAGCAAGACTACTGATTGGTGAGATCTTCTTCGGTAGTTGTTCGGCAACTGAGGGTTATCCGGTACACTTTCCCCTGAAAACTACCTAAGTAGATTACTAATTACTGATTATCTGGAGAAGACGGCGACGCCATGTAAGGGTCGCCGGCGCAGGGCGCTGTTGCTGGGACTATTAGCCAATAGCATGGTTCTCGTATGTCAGAAGTGCCAGTCGTGGATCTTCCCAAGCACCAGCCGGGCAATTTGATGGTCGATCTGAACCACGGAATGAACGAGACCCGGGGTAGTTTCCGCTAGCGTCGCGCTAAACAACGATTTCGTCGAGCTTATCTCTACACTTGCGCTGGACGCCACGCCGCTCCGTCATCTTGATCAGATTCACACGGTGCCTTCCGTCTATAGCGCATGTTGCCAGTGGGTCAAACGGACTTGCGTCTTGGAGTCTATTCACATCTTGACAGGCAGTTTGCGGAGTTCCACGGGGTCTGTCCGCCAAGTGCCTCTTTTGGCGTGCCAACAATGAATATTTTTTCATCAAAAAAAGAACTAAAGTCATCTCCAGGCTCCGGACAAGCGGACGGTAATAACAAAAAAGAAGTTGGCTAGGGGTGTATCGTGGATGACATCCATCATTGCTGGGCTGCACCGCGCGGGAACTACCCGACGTAGCACACTGAATTGTTTCCCATCGGATGATGCATCCTCCAGTCCATTTCGCGTCAAGAAGACTTATGTAGTCCACGTCAAGAGAAATCGAAAGCTGTAGGGGACTACTAGAGGATGTTCGCAACTTCACTCATACTCCCCGCAACAGTCATGACTCGCCGTGGTGCTACTCTAACTCGGATCTATCCCCAGTCGCCTCTTAAGAGAACACTGCGAATTCCCAGCACCTCCTTGTCTAAGGCCTTTTCACTGCTACATCGGCATGACTAGGCAAACAAGAGGGTCTCGAAGGGCACTCTGTCATTCCTGGACTTCTTTCGCAGCCAACTCAGGGTCTGACTATACTGCTGATCACGGAATGGCATCCGTTGTCCTTCAATAGCGCATTGCCGCTCGTAGCTCCAGTCTTGGCGACTATACCCCAGCCATGTGAGCCTTGCAGATCGACGTGGGCGATTACTGTCTTGGGACGGTTGTTCGACTACCCCAGACAATGGATTATGGTCGCCACCGAGACTGTTGGCTGCACACTGACAAAGTAGTCCATGTACTAGCGGATCAACCATGAAAAGATACTCGAATTCGTTCGAGACCAAAGACACCGGCTATGAGGAGCGTTGGGAGTGACCCTTAACTCCACAGTGGGGAACTTACGCTAGTCTGCAGCCGTGGATGCAAAGAAATATAAGATAGACGAGATCTGCTCACTATCGTCAGCATCTCTTCACCCTCCATCACTGCATTACACAATGTTTGCGAAGACATCTCTCGTGCTCCTTACCGGGCCAGCTCTGCTGGTCTCAGCTTTCCCCGAGATAGCTCGTATGGTCGCTGAGAAGCGCATCCAAGAGCGTCAAACAACGCCACAAATCATCGAATTCCCAGAATACCCAGGCACACCCAACCACGCCCTCTTCAACCAATTCGACCCTGCCCTCCAACTCGTCAACACATCTGGCGAGCACGAGTGGCGCGCCCCAGGCAAAGGAGATATCCGCGGTCCTTGTGCCGGCCTCAACGCCGCCGCGAACCACGGCTACATCCAGCGCGACGGTGTTGTCGATGCAGCAAGCATCAACACCGGTCTTTGGCAAGCTTTCGGCCTCGATAAGACAGCCACCATCTTCCTCGAGACCGCAACGGCCTTCTTCAACGGCGACCCCATCTCCGGCCGCTGGAGCATCGGTCCCCATTCAGACAAGACCAGCTCTCTTCCTCCACTGGTTGGTGACCTCCTTGGCAACGAAACAGGAATCTGCGCATACGGCCATCTAAGAAGTGAGGGCGATGCCAGTATCACCCGTGGCGATTGGCTTGCACCTGAGATGAACTCCAACTGCCGCTCCTACCCGCAATACATGCAAGAGCTCTTTGACCTCTCCAACCAGCGCGCAGGAGGTCTGATCACGCCCCGCGTCCTTGCTGAGCACTCCAACAACCGCAAAAAGCACAGCATCGCTACCAACCCATTCTACTTCAGTCCCGCGTACGCTGGTGTTGCATTCACCTTTGGCGCACACATGTTCGCGTACCACTTGCTTGCGAACCACAGCGCTGAGGCTCCCCGCGGATTCTTGACGCAAGATGTATTCATGGACTTCTTCAGCTACAAGCGCGACGCCAGCGGTGCGTTGACGTACAAGTATGGCTATGAGCGCATTCCAGACAACTGGTACAAGCGCCACCCGCTCGACCCATGGACGCTTGCAGACATTGGTGTCTCGACCGCACAGCAATGTGCCGCGTACCCGTTGAACTGCCAGGTCGGTGGCAACACGGGCGCCGTCAACAGTTTCTCGGGCGTCAACCTGGGTGACATCACTGGTGGCTTTATCAACTTCGCAGAGGACTTGAACGACCCCAAGAAGATGGGCTGCTTCATCGCGCAGGCTGTGCAGGCGGATACCCCGTCTTTCTTGAGCAAGCTTCTTGGGGGTGCTGCTCTGACTGCTGCTTTGGCTGCTGTTGACAGTCGTCTTGGGCCGGCGCTGCAGCCGCTTAAGGATCTAGGCGGTGGATGCCAGGGCGTGCCGGCGGGCAGGAGTATGTTCGACTATGGAATCAACTTCCCCGGTGCCACTCTCGAGACCGAAGGTCCGAGGTCTGGACAATAGAGTTGGTCTGTAGTGTCAGGTGTAGATAGCTCATAGATAAGAGTATTAGTTGTATCGGATTACAAATTCTTCAGTTCCATACCTCCTCTGGGATATGCAGTGAATGAGAATTGTGAGGTGTATTAGCAAGACTGCTGGTAGCACGGGAGTGAGCAGCGTCTGCTTCCACGCTTCTTTATTTGTTGAGGACACTCGTCTCACAAAGCGGTTGAAGTGTTGACAGAGTACATCGTGAAGTCACCCAAAAGTAAAATGCGGTACTGTCTCAACAATAATCCAGATCAGTCTCGCGATACGTGCGTAATCGACAGAGGATGTGAGCAGAAAGGAGGTGTCGCGCCTGCCAGAACTCGAAATTCTAGACCCACATCTTCTCCATCCCCATTGGCCCTGCTCGGCTCCTGTAACGGCCTAGCCCCGCACTAGTCCCAGCTAGTGCGGCGGCATCGCTGAACCCTGAATCCCCATCCCAACTTCCTCAAAACTCCCCTTCCGAGTCGTCCCACCCCTGCTATCGCCTTTGCATAACCCGCGATAGCAAAAACTGTCCTACATCATGCCTTCTGCAGCCGATATCCTCAGCGATCCTGAAATCGCGCAAGCATACGAAGACGTGCGCTCTGACAAATCCGAGACCACGTGGCTTATCTTGAAGGTACATCCGACAATGCGCCCGAACGGTTTTGTTCACCGAGACGAGATCGAAGGCGTGAAGTAAGCAACTATGAGAAATCTGACGGCTGACCATCCCCAGTATGCATCCGCAACCTCAGATAACCTCAAACTTGCCGGCACGGGAAGCGGCGACATTGCCGAGATGACGGAGAGTCTTGGCGACGACGAAGCAGCATACGCCTATGTGCGCATGAAGCTAGGAAACGACGAGTACAGCGAGCGCGTCAAGTTTGCTTTTGTTGTTTGGCAAGGTTTGTCATGTCCCTGACTTGCATGTGGATATCGCTGAGCCGT